GTGTAGCCTTGGCTGTCCTGGAACTTGCTATGTAGAACAGGCTGGCCTTGAGCTCAGATATCCATCTGCCTCTACCTCCCAATAATAGGTTTAAGGCATGTGCCACCACCACCAGGCTGAAATATATCAGAAGGAAAATATTTTCTATAGAATTTACTAAAAGAAATAAAGAAGATGGCAGTGCCAAACTTTAAAGAAAAATGACAAATGCTTATAATAAATTTAACAGCTAATCCATTCCAGCACTAATTGCAATCACAGTTTATACATACTTAGTCACAAGAGAAAGGATAATTAAACACATTGGCCAAATTATCTGTTGAAATTCAGGCTAACAAACAACTGTCAGGTACACTGAGTTCATTTTTGTGTCTTTTTACTATGATTGCAAAGTTGGTCATTGCATTGCTTATGCATCACCAGTACATATAAAGCAGATAAAAAGTTCACCCAAAGAATTCCTTTACTACTCTTTCCTAAAATGACTACTACAAAAGCATACCTTATAATTTTAGAATATAATTACAAATTCGGGAAAAGGAATTCTTTGATTTTCAAACCTAAGGATGCAAACTATGCTGTTGTTTTCACATGCCTCGCCTGCAGTGATGTATACCTGACTGAGGCATCAGCTGCAGCTCACAACTGGATATCCAAGTTATGGAATGGATTGTAGTAAGTTTTGTGTGGGCTTGACTGGATAAGCCATTTCTCTGGACCAAGGAAATTTGTCAACTTCCACAAAGCTTTTATAAAATTCTTAACTCACGACAAGCAGTTAACCCACCAATGAGCATTTCACAGCGTGGACAGATAGTGGGATGCACATTATCCACAATGTTTATGGCTGTCAGCAACAGGAGAGCCAGCTACCAGTCTAGACCTAAACAAGCTAGGCTTAAATCTCCCACATAAAATAAGTCTGGCCCCAAGGCTGGCTCGGAGCCCAGGATGTCACTTCCTAGCTGTCATGCCCTCCTCTGTGTGTGTGTATGTGTGTATCTCACCACTCTTTCTTGTCTTGTAGTATTCCTTCCCTCTCCCCACCACAGGAAGCAAAGTCTTTCAATGCCCAATATACTGTTTTAATGGGCTTGGCTAGTCTACATTTAAGTTATAAATTCAAAGTTGTCAGCTGGGCATGGTGGACACTGTAACCCAAGTTCCAAAGGAACCCAGAATATGAGGTGTGAGAATGTGTGGAACCTTGTGCTCTTGGCTATCCTGGTGTGGAGTGGTGTCTTTGAGGGGTAGGGAATGGGAAGGAAAACCTCAGGGCAAGAAATGTTTCTGCATTTGCCGGGGATTCTTGGGACTATTTCCAGGGACTTCAAGTGGTGACTAGTTCAGAAATTTCACCATGTCTTCTGGGGAGCAGGTCTACGGTGGATGCTGGAAGCTAGCTATTCAGTCCCTCCAAGCTCTTCTATTATGTCTTCAGTTATCTTTTAAGTATTACCCTTGAAATGTTTAAAGTCACACTTTTTTTTTTTCCTGGAAGTACTCCAAGTATTAGCTGAGTGTGCTTTGTCCTAATTGCTTGGCACCACAAGTGGTTTATTTTATTTTTAAAAAGTATTTTCATACACATAATGCAATCCAAGTCTAAATTCAAAATTCACTTGACTTTCATATAAATCTTACACTCAGAGCCTGAAGTAATTTTAAACAACAGTTTGTTTTTTATAATTTTGTGCATTTTGATAGCCAAGAACCATATGAGGTCAGAGGTAGAATGTTTTAATTGTAGTATCATGTTAGTATTTAGGAATTTGGAGACTTTTTGAGCATTTCAATTGCAGATAGTCTGATGAGAGTGCTCTTGTAGGTCTTCATCTTATGGGGAGAATGTACAAAACACACAAAGGGCCTTAGTATCAAAACAAGGAAATAGATAACTCAATTTTTTTTAAGTAAGATAAGAAGTTGAACACAAAGTTCTTAAAAGCAGCAATACAAATGGCTAACAATGTTTGAAAATGTGTTCAATATCTTTACCATCAAATCAATGAATATTAAAACTTCTTTGAGAGTTCACCTCACTCCAGCTAGAAGGGTTGTTATCAAGAAGACAAGATGCTGGTGAGGATGTAGAGAAAGGGAGAGGATCAGTCATCATTTGTGGGGATCTAATCTGGGGTAGCACTGTGTGTGTGTGTGTGTGTGTGTGTGTGTGTGTGTGTAGGTTTCTAAAAAACCTAAAAACAGGGCTTCCAGAGACTTAGGCACTTATCTACAGGGCTCCATATCCCAGAGAGCCTTGGGCATCCATGTTTACTGCTGTTTTTTTCACAAGAGCAAGGAGATGGAACGAGCACAGATATCCATCAACTGATGAATGGGTGGAGAAACTGTGGTCATATACACAATAGAATTCTATTCAGCCATAAAGAAAAATAAAATTATGAAATAGCATAAAAATGGATGGAGCTGTATTAAATGAAGTAACTCAGGGTCAAAGACATAAGCACCACATGTTCTCATATGCAAACCTGGCTTTTATTTTATGTATATGTGCATTTATGAAGAAGTAAGCATGTGTGGAATCCATGAAACTAAAGATTCTTTAAAGAGAGGTAGTTGAGTAGCAGAACATATGTGATATGAAAGCAGGGATAGAAAGAGCAGGAGGTAGAAAGATTTATGTAGGTGGGAGGCGGGAAGAGGAGGTGGGAAGGAAGATTCAACCAATACTAATGATGTATGGAAAAGAAGAAATTTTGGTACTCAATAAGCTAATCAAAACCTTTTCTTTTAAGTGTTTGAAATGAAAATAGCCTGTGTGGGTAGATAAATCAGCTCCCAGAAGCCTCACATTATTAAACAAAAATCCCAGTGCAAGGAATTATCTCCCTATGAGATTTTCAGTCATTCAATGAGGTCCCTAAAGCTCCCAGACAATATAGTCAAATGTCACCCAATTGGTTCTTCTCCAGAACCAGATGGCAAGACCCTACTGCTAAAAATGTCACATACAATGATCACAGGACACAGAGAAATCAATCTGGAAATAGGCTAATGCAACCTCCTGGCTAGTTAGCCTTCATACTGCTGCTGCAGAGTGCCACAGACTGCTAGGGGAGAATTGTCATCAATAGTCTTACACAGTTTCTGTGCCATTCGCATGTGCTCACACATCATCATCTACTGGCCAGGCATGATGTGCCAATTAGTGCAATAGCAGCAAATCTTTTATACAGATAGCAAACTGCTTCTCTGATTTGATCTGATGCCTAATTCAAAGAAGGAATTCCCGTCCGATACTGTAAACTAATCAAAAGCCCATGGCTAGGAGGTCATAGGCTCTAGTGAGAAAGCTACTATTGTTGTTTTACTAAATGGATATGGTGTGCCTTCAAACTCTCTTCTAATAACTAGATTTATGCAGCTCTTGGCTCTACTCAGGGAGCTATAATAATTGCAGGAACTCATAATTTTAATGACTCTTGAATTTCCAGTCATAAATGATACATCTATGTTATCCCTCCAAGGCTCTGGAAATACCATGGAAGGAGCAGAAACAATATAGGAGCAACAAGAAGGAACTGAGCAGTGTGGACCACTGCCTTCTGGAACAGGATGACTATTGTCCTGACAGTAGCTATGATTACCTGCATAAGACTGAGTCCTGTGATGGAAAGGGGGAGCCTCATGGGACCTCAACCACTCATGAGGATTTATATGCACTAATAATTGTACTACTGGAACAGGCATTTTCCAGTAGTACAAGCACTGGAAAGTTATCTACACTCCTGTGAGCAAATTCTCACCTATGTTCCTATAAACAAGTTTTATATCTAGTCACATCAAAATAGAAAAAGACATGAAAGTACTAGGTGGCAAACTCAGAAAATAGAAAGGATAAGAATGGGAGTGAGAAAAGAATAAGAAAACGGGGTAAACATGATCAAAAAACATATGTGCATGTATAAAAATGTCATAATGATATGCTAATAAAGTATTTTCAAAAAGAGAAAGAGGTAGAATGTGTGAGGTTTTGCCTTCAAGAAATAAGTCCAGCTGGGCAGTGGTGGCAAATGCCTTTAATCCCAACACCAGGGAGTCAGAGGCAGACAGATCTCTGTGAGTTTGAGACCAGCCTGGTCTACAAGAGCTAGTTCCAGGACAGTTTTCAAAGCCACAGAGGAACCCTGTCTCCAGGGAAAAAAAAAAGAAAAATAAAGAAAGAAAGAAGTCCATTGTTAAAAGCCTCAACCAGGATGGTGGAGCACTGTAACCCTAGGACCTATGATGCTAAGGTGAGAGGGCTTGAGTTTAAGGCCAGCTGAGGCTATCTCAAAAAACAAACCAAGAAAATCAAACAAAAAGATCAGACTCAAGCAAACAACTAAGAAACATAGTTCATGGTTATAAGGAGTGTGAAGAACAAAGAGGAACACGAGATCAAGCCTGCCGTTGAGGGAGAACCTCCTTGGGACTTGTCTCCCCACCAACCCCATCCCTGCCTTGGTTTTTCCAGACAGGGTTTCTCTGTGTAGTTTTGGAGTCTGTCCTGGAACTCAACCTGTAGACCAGGCTGGCCTTGAACTCACAGAAATCCACCTGCCTCTGCCTCCTGAGCACTGGGATTAAAGGTGTGCACCACCACCGCCCAGCCCTGGGACTTGTCTTGAAGCAGGTACGCTGAGGAGACTGGCTAATTTTGGACTCGTGGCTGCCAGAGAATGCATTTTTTTGTCATTTTAATTTGTGAAGAAAGTTTCCAATTTATTAGAATCATATCCTTCAATGTGGTAGTCCTAAGAAATGATCTATTTCCTTGATAACAGTTTATTTTCTCTTCTAGAGTTAAGATATTTTTAAAACAGAGATTAAGATAAACATCACCATAACAAAACCATTAAGATAAAAAGAAACCGGAAATGTTTTTAGATTCATGAGAAAAGCTGAGCACAGCATACAGTTCAATGAATTACCTCATTTTGGGCACATTATATACAGAATGAGTTAAGCACATAAAATAGCATATGACAACATACCAAACCCAGGAACACTTTTGAGACTGGATTTCAGGCAAATTTTCTCCAATCTGAGGTAGCTATATCTCATTAGACAATTCCACAGGAACATCCAGTCTACCCTAGTCCGATGGTTCATGATGATGACACTCCTTTCTCCAGGTACAAATGCATCACCTGTTAAAACCACTTTTACACCAAACATGGTCTCCAACAATGCCTATCAAAAAATAAAAAAAGGCAGATATAAAGCAACTTAGGATTTTCAGGTTAAGAAGCCAAATATGAGATTATTCTTAACCATGTTTATGAACTTATTCAAAAGAAATGAAAAATTATGTAAGAGTTATGGATCTTTTTCCTTCCTGCTAACCTTGTTATGACTATGCTATATTGCTTTTATAATATGAAAAAAAATGACACTTAAAACCTAAATAACCAAATGTCTTTGAAAAAGCAAACCTGAGTCCAAACTAAATAATGATTTAATTATTTTTTAAAAGTTATTGCAGTTTTCCATAGGTAAATTTAATCATGTTATATCCTATGATTTCTAACAAATAAAACATAGTTTCCCATATTCTTGCTTCTGTAATAAACGGGGAGGGGGTGATCAAGTATAAGACAATGAAGTACTATATATACTTCTTCCACTAATTTTAATTTCTGGAAGTTTCATAATAGAAAAATATGAACTACATTTTCAAATCTTCAATTAAATATTGTTAAGTTAAAAGAAATGCACAAAACAAGATTCTACTGGGTACTTTTAAGGATATACAGATTAGATTGTCACATAGTTTTTCTAGAAAGAATAATCAAAAATATAACTGAATGTAGGACTGAAGAAACTAAACTCCATTTTTCTGTAAGATGATCTTTTGTTATTCAAAAAGATACATACAGACTAAAATAACTACGTCTACTAAAATATTTCAGCCTACCACCTACAGCCAATGTCTGGCACATACAAATGCTCAAATGCTTGCTGAGTTTGTTAAACCAACATTTCTGAGGCCTGATGATATCATTAAGACTAAATATTCTGAAGGAAAGTGTGTATTCCAATCTAGAGTGCTTAAGAAGGGAGCTAGTGCCTCCCCCTTCCTTTTCCTTTTCATTCTTTATATTGTCCAGAATCTGCATTCAATCTCCCTCTACCACAGTCTCCCAAAAAACCAAGACTACAGAGTGCATTACTATTTTATTTCATAACTAATTGAGAATGGGCTGATAGGGATATAAAAGCTAAGAAAATCAAACATCTCAAACATCTTTAAATCATTCAACATTTACAGCAAAGGAGCTATGAGCATCTATGAGAGCATGAAGCACAAACATAACAGCGAAAGGGAAGCAAAACAAATCATGTATGTAAATATCCACATGTAAGGCTTTCTACAAGGGCAGGATATTGATATAGAGGTAGATAAACACAGTTAATAAACAACTATTTAAAAGGTTGTATTCATGGCTACTTCTTCTAAAACAGAAGACATTTAACTTGTATGGCTGGGCATCAGCTTCCACTAGAGCTGGCAAGGCTGTTTCTTGACCTGCTTGACAATCACAGTTACTCCAAGGACCATGGGGACAAGAGGGTTGCTGGGGTTTGCTGGCTTCTCGTCTGAGAAAACATGAGCCACAGGTTCAGAGAGAAAACCTCACTTCAAAGGAATAAGTGAACGAACAGTGATGGAGCAAAATACAGGACATGCTCTTCTGACCCCTTTGTGCAAGCATGCCTCCTCACACACTAACACACACACATCAATACACACATACTATCCACTAATATGTGTGCCTGTGTTTACTAACTTTTCAATGTTTTTTCTATTTAAAAATTAAAAGCTTTGTGGCCTGGGATGGTAGCACATGCCTTTAATACCAGTACCTGTGAGGCAGAGGCAAATAGATCTCTGTTTTTGTGATATAACAGAATAACAGCATATTCCATAAAAATGAAAAGAAGTTTTTCATTCAGATGAAAAGTAGAGAAGACAGGGTATATAAACTTACAATTGAGGATACTTTAGGTTAATGGGCTGTCACCTCCACAAGGTGGATATCCTTACCTGTCCTACTTATCACTATATCCAAGAATCTGGTTCACTCTGCCTGTGTCCTGAGAACTTTAGTGAAGTTGAATTTAAAGATATTGGGCTAATTTGTTTGGCAGAAGGAATTTTAAGACAAGAAAGCATTTACTCTGTGGCATAGCTACTTCTTATTATATTTACCCAGGTTTATAATTAAAAAGAGAAAAAGAGCCTGGCAGTGGCGGCACACACCTTTAATTCCAGCACTGAGGAGGCAGAGGCAGGAGGATCTCTGTGAGTTTTGAGGCCAGCCTGTACCAAAGAGAGAGTTCCAGGAAAACCAGGGCTACACAGAGAAACCTGGTTTCTAAAAACAAAACAAAAAGAGGGGGAGGAGGGAGGGAGGGAGGGAGGGAGATTGAGATTTAAATGTGTAGTTTGTTGAGGAGGAAAAGAGCTCAAACAAGTTATAAACTTCACAGCCAGGAAGAACCACGTGGCTCTATGCTGGGACAACAGGAAATGTCCCTGAAGAGAAGAACTTTACCCACTAAGGGTTCCAACTTGTCAAAATAAAAGCTTCCTTGAAACGGAATGCAGCTAAAGGTGTTCCCTCCCTTGTCTGGGAAAGTGTTCCCCAGGGTCAGCACATGGAAGCTGATGGCTGTCCTTAAGGTGACCAGGTTATAGCTCAAACTGGTAAAAGAACATGACAGCATTGTCCACTTGACTAGTTTTACAGCCATGAAAGACTCAAGGCTGAGGAGGTCACAGAGTCCCCTTCAGAGAGCAGCTGATGCCAGGCAATGTGTACAAATGTCTACCCTACCCCCAGCACCATTCCAGTAACTACTGAGTCAACCTGCATGCACAGCCACTGCACACTTTGATCCTCTGGGCAGGCACTCCACCTACTGCCTAAGGGGAAACAAGGGACTCATTCAAACAGGTGGAAAGGATCCTTTACCAATTAGGGAAGACTATTTCCCTTCTTTTTTCCTTTTTCAGGTACTAAATTCATCGTCTCTACCAAAACGGACTCATACACTCAGCAACCTGAGGAGAAAAGAGGAATAGCTGTCGCTAAGGAGAACGAAGGAGCCGAACAGTCCACCATCCAAGGGAAAGACAAGTACACAGTGCCCACTGATGCACAGCAACCTCTTCCCAGGCCCAGAGAAGGAACCTGGACTGGAACTGACAGTTATCAGCTCAAGATGAGTAGGAGATGCGCTTGGAACAACTCTAGAGCACAACAGTCTCTAAGACTTTATTAAACACCGTGTACACACTTTGCTATTAACCTCATCTTCAGAGAGAAATCACATTTTCTTGATTTTTTTAATGTCCCTTATTTTTGTAATTACTAGGAAGAAGTGAATCAATCACATCTCTGTCAGACGTTGAAAACATGTTTACTATTCATGAGAGGGTTACACTTTTACTTAAAATTTTTTCATACAATATAATTTGATATTCTTTCCCCACAGAATCTTAATATGTGGCACTGCTTTGTAAAACACAAAATGGAAATGCAGAATAAAATTTAATGGTTTAAATTCTTCAGTCTTTAAGATTTATAGATTTTTCTAGATATAAATTATACCTTCCATTATATAAAATATAAAAGAAAATTCATGAAGAATGCAGAAAGAAGCTCTCAGTTTTCTGTAAGGTTCTTTATAAGGGTTTGCTTTAAGGACATGAATGTTTGTATTTCTATTTTTTCTATTTTCTCACTTCTTTTCTAAGTCAGACATGCCTACTATAGAACACTGAGGACCTCTGTTTCCCTGAATACCAAACCTCTGGTGCTAAAAAAGTATAAGAGATGGGCCACCCAATACAAGTACACAGACCCTTCTGACATGTAACTTACCACAGGAAGCGTGAGCCACGAAGCTACAAAACGGCTGCTGATCCAGCGATACCACGACAGGTTGATAAACATCAAAGGAATAATGGGACCCAGCATAAAAATACTTCCAAAAAAGCTTCCTGCAAACAGGAAGAGTATAAAATAAAGCCCCTTCCATGACACCATGATTCTGAAAGATAAAACAAAACCAAAGAATATATTTTATTACTATGCATTTAGCTGCTCTAATTTCATCAAAATTATGCATACAATAATTTTTAATGATGAGGCTAGAGGAGACTGAATTCCCTGCTCTACAAGCCTAACAAGTCGCCAGTACACTAGAAACTGATAGATATTCTCAAAAGAGTACATAAATGTCTGTTCTCCAGAAAAATGTTGTGTGGTGTGTAAGAAGTCTTTTTGAAAATCAATTGGTATTTAATGTAAAGGGGTATCTTTCTCTTTCCTAAGTTACTAAAGGCAACAGTGCTCTAGCAGAGTAACTGAAACTGAAAGAAAAGAATCTGGAAGTGTTCATTCTTCACGTCAGACCCTGAGTCACATCTCTGGGCACCAAGTCTCAGATGGGTTCTTTATGAGCTCGGTGGGTAAGTCACCTGCCAAAGTATTACCTTAAGGGTACTTGAAACCAAACCTAACATGGATATTTTAAAACAAATGATGGGAAACAGTTAAAAATGAAAATTCCAACATCTGATCTTATAACCTAAACAGAACAAACTGACACAGAATGAAGTTTAACATGGCACCAAGTGTATTTTTTAAATTTCTACCAATATTTGATGGTATATACACAAAATCCTACAGAACAGAAAGAGAACAAATATTTACCAAGAGCTTCTACATGGGAACATTTAGGGAAAGGGACGAAGGACTCATGGGGGGAAAGATGACTAGGAAGCAATGGGACAAACTCCAGGCCACACAGAGCTAGACACATGCTCCCACAAACCTCCACATCACTGCATCTAAGCCTCGTTACATTAAAGGTATCAAGCAGCGGACTTCTCCCCAATCTTCAACACAGGCTTTATTTAATTCACTATCTTAGACCTGTTTCTTATACGCACATCCACCGTCACCACCTCCAAGGCTCCTCTCTTATCTGAAAACCTCTATCTACTTATTCCTACCTGTGTTACTTCAGCCAGCCACCAGACAGACAGACAGCCTTCAGCCAGCCAGCCAGACAGCAGCTAACTCTAGATACTTGTTCCTGACCTCCTTGGCAGAGCTACATTTTACACTGTTATGCCCTCAGGCAGTCTCCTCATCAAAAACTCCTATAGGCTTCTTCCTCATCAATTTTTGAGTTGATGTGATTATAAGGAAAAATATATCATTAAATGGCCTAGCTATTGTCAGATGAAATCTTTCCATTGTATAGCAATGAATCTGAGCCCCATGGAGGCTAAAAGGGCTTTCCTAATTCAACACAAAGCACGTAATCCTGCCCAGTGCACCTTCCACTGCCTCATGCCACCTCCCTCCTGCCATGCAGCTGAGAATTAGACCAACATCAACCTTTAACCACTTACTTTAACAAAGACAAACTTATATAAAGGAATCTATCACATGACTGCAATGGGATTTTATAGATTCGACCTAATCTAAAATGTCTTGAACATTCATTCATTTTTATGAAACAATAAGCATATAAAGAAATCCTTACTGTGTGCCAGCCACTGGAATAATCATCACCAAAGGTCTCTGTAACATGAATAAATAAATGACCCAGAGACTGATACTGGGGTTCAAACTTCAAGCTGATGATCAGAAAAGCAATGCAGTCGGCCACTAACTCTCACCTCTAGCTCAGGCTGAAAGGGCTGATCCATACACGAGCTCTTAAACAAATCTCAAACTGCTGTCTCTCCTCTGTGTGGCTAGAGAACAAATCCTCCCTGCTTCAGTGTGGCTGGGGAATGAATGCCTCTCTGAGGCCTTGCTTCTGTCTCATATACTTCCCTAATGTTGGAATTAAAGGTGTGAGCTATAACTCTCCTTTAGACTGATTCACTCTTGTGTAGATCTGGGTGGCCTTGGACTCACAGAGATCCATCTATCTCTTTATCCCTAGTCCTATGATTAAAGGTCTGTACCACCACCTCCTAGATTCTGGCTGTTGGAATTAAAGGTGTGTGACTGGTTTCTAAGGCTGGTGGCTGATTTTGCTTTTCTGAATCCTCAGTCAAGCTCTAATAAATCATAAATAATATATCACTAAAGGTATCACACATCTAGGAATGGAACTCAGGGTCTCTTGCATGCAAAGCACAAGCCCTACCCTCCTCGATCTGGTGATTTCATTTCTCCCTGTGTGCCCCTCTCTGACTGCATTTCAGAGCCTTTTTCTGTACTCTAATTTGGGGGTCAATTAGGCTAAGAACAGCTACATACTTATTTGGAATAGACAAATATTAAAAAAAAAAAGACAGTGTCAAGGGCTGACACAGACATGCAGCCATCTGAACTAACACACACTGCTGGTGGAAACACAAAGTTGTACAGAGCTCTGGGAAACAGCTTGGCGGTTTTACAAAAGGCTACATTTATACTCACCATATATACTAGTAAATCCACTGACTGTACAGCACAAATAAAACACTATCTTCACACAAAAGGTTCTGCATAATCCTTTATAGCAACATTCCTCATAACTGCACAAACTAAAACTAACCTGTCACTGTGGGTGAGCAGATACTGAATTAGTACTCAATAAAGATATATGCCTAATATAGGCATCCTGAGTTACTCTCAAATGGACTGTGCTGAATCAAAGATGCCAGGTGCAAAAGACATTTCTTCTAGGGGACATTCTGAGCAAGGCTAACCCACAGGAGGGGAAACAAGTAGTGGTTGGCAAAGGTTGGGGACAAGAGATGATCTGAGGACTGAAGGATGGCACAGGGAAGCTTGGGAGAAGAGCAAACTGCTCTGTTTCTTGACTGCACAGTGTACAATGGTGGAAAACACATCCACTAGTTTCCCTCCTTTCCTGCTGTGGAGCTCGGCACTGAACCCAGGGTTCATGCATACCTAGTACAGCTCTGCCACCAAGCAGCATGCTCAGCAAGTCCTGGACATTTTAAATTGTGATCCTGCCTATAATCTAGCACTTGGGAGGCAAAGATCATGAGTTTAAAGCTACAGAGTGAATTTGAAGCCAGTCTAAGCTACATAGTGATACTCTAGTTCACAAATAAAAATTTTAAAAAAGCTATGTTCTTGTGAAATTCTGTATTTCAAATTATTTCAATAATAATGATCTAAACTATTTTTCCTAAGCTTTTATAATACGCTGGATACTGTTTCATGTATTTGATTTGAACAGACTTTAACAGTCACAATAATCTCATGTCCTGGTTATTTTATTACCCCTATTCCAGGCATCAGAATTCTGTGGCGCAAAAATGCTAATTTGCTCGAGGTTAAACAGCTAGTAAACAGCAAAGCTGGGAACTGGCTTTAGGGATTCTGGTGTTGGTATCTATACTCAGTCTGCTATAGTATACATCTTTTTCAAGACCATTTTATTCTTGTAATTAAACACACATGCTTTATAGAATTACACTATAAGGACATAATTATAAACTAAAATTATAATACTTTATAAAAAGTACTCTGAATTTTAGAAGTTCACAGGGATTAATGAGAAAGGCTCATTAAGTCTTTCTTAGCTTAATATCCTTTAGTTCACAGGAGTGCTTCACTGTGATACAGTGGTATTGTGAAACATTCACAATACAGAGGTATTGTGAAACATTCAGGCAGTTGGGGAAAGGGATAATGGGTACTTCACTAAGGTATTCAAGAAGACATCTGCCTGGAGGAAGTAGTAGAGGAAGAAGAGAGAAAATTCAGGCAGAAAAACAACATAAAGGTTTGTAGAAATTTGAAACAGCAAGGTGCATAGACTTAGAAATTGCTGAAGTTTAAAAAAGCAACAAGGTTCACAGTGTTGGTATGCAAGAAATGCTAAGAGCACTGGCCCTAGGGAGAAAGCTACACCCAACTCAGGATGGGAAAAAACAGCACTTCATCTTGGCACAAGGAGTGGGGAAAATGTAAGGCTTATGACTCCTACTTTAAGATAGGTGTAACAGTAACACAAACATGGACAGCCTCACTTTGTTAAAAGCCTTCTCTGAACTTTGCAATAGATAACTCAAATGACTTATAGCAAAAATCTCAGGACTCAGAAAGTCTGCTATCAAAGACACAAACCACACCATTTGGCAAACAAATAATCATGAGCATACCTCTTTATCAGGACACGTCACCTGTCACATGAGGAGGCTTAGGCAGATCCTCTCTAAGACCCCTGCTAGTTTGAATATATAGGGTTCATTTTATCATCAGACACTTTATACAGGGCTCGTGGTATTTATCTCTTTAACATCTAATGATTTGTCTTGCTTGCTGGTGCAGATGTGTAATCCCAACTACCACTAACAGAATCAGGGAAATTCCAAGTTCAAGGCCTGGGTGGCTACGGTGAATGTACCATCCCGAGTAACTTGGATGGACCCTGCTCAGTGTAGGAACATTTGCAAGGTACTGGATCTAATCCCAAGCACTGCAAAAACAAAGTCCATAGACTTTGAATTTTATATACAACCCAAGCATCTATGACATGGAAGAAATCTATAATCTTGCTCATATGCAAAGTTGAATTTTAAATACCACAAGTCTATAAAAGCAAATAATGTTATGAAGACATAATGAAACCAATTACTCTGTTTACTAACTTTAAAAAATTTAAACAGAAGTCATTTTAGTAACAATGACTCCAGCCAACTGGCTAATTTCCTCTCAAAGAGCCTTTATTCTAGCTACTTCTATTCTCTTCTGGGTATGTATTATGCTATAGTGGATTCGTAAATTTAAGGATTTACATAAAAGGACTTTGCTATTTCTCCTGACAGTGCCATGTGTCCAAAAATAAACACTTTATATTACCATCCAATCCAAACAAAACCTCAAGTGTGTGTGTGTGTGTGTGTGTGTGTGTGTGTGTGTGTGTGAAATTGTGTAGGCTGGAACAAATATTTCTAGGTGACATAATAAACCCAAGCATAAAGTGGGTGACTAGCTATGCAGACAAATCCTCATGTCAATCTCCTACCCTTTTAGCTCCTTCTAGGGCTTCTCTTGACCAACCCA